CTTTAGTCTCTTCAAATATAAAGTGGAAATAACGATGAGGAGGTAGCTACCACGGGAAGGTGCTGCTCTTTGACGTAATTGCAATCCATTAGGGATCGGTTCTCAGACTCAAGTTAGAAGTGAGAGTTCAGGTATGTCAGGCGGCCATTGCTGCTTTGAACGCCTCAGAAGGGGAGGATTTATTCATCAGGGGAGAAAAAGAAGAGCTTGTGAGGAGTCAAAGACGATAATAAAAAGTCCAGCATGAGAGCTCGTTCTAGCAAGTGTGAGGACCCGTCTGATGAGAAGTCCAAGGATGGCTCTAAAGATAAGGGGCCACTAAGGACTCAAGGGAGAAGGTCAGTGGCCGGGACAGGGCCCAGATGAGGTGAGGTGCCTCAAGTGGACGTAGCAGCACTGGTTCTGTCCAGCTGAACCTCCAGGTTGGGCTCCAGCAGTGGCCCAGCTCCTCTTCTGCATCCAGCCCTCAGGAAGCTCTAGCATATCCCATGGCTCCAGGTGCAGCACCCCGTGCGCTCTGAGCCCTTCTGAAGGAAAGCGCAATAGGCACTGCTCCTGTTCCAAATCCAAACTACCTAAGAGCAATGAAAAGGAGGAAAGGGAGGAGCCCCTCCCCCAAACCCACCAAAGTGCACATTGGGAGGCTTACCAGGAATGTGACCAAGGATCACCTGGTGGAGATATTTTCCACTTTCGGGAAAATTAAAATTATTGACATGCCTGTGGAAAGGATGCCTTCTCTATCAAAAGGCTACGCACACATGTAGTTTGAGAATCCGGATAAATCCGAGAAAGCACTGAAATGCATGGCTGGAGGACAAACATGGCCAGGAAGTCTGCTACTGCAGCTGTGTTGGACCCTGGCCTCGGCCACCCCGTCGGCGATTCAGCTCTCCCAGGAGAATGCTGCGCACTTCCCATGTGGCGCAGGTCACCCCACGGATTGGGGGCGGGCTCTCTCCCCAAGGCCCAGATCCGCTGGTCCCCGAGGTCCTCCTCGCCTATCTGCTGCTGCAATGGGAGCCACTCCAGCTCCAATTCCTCCTGAAAAGCAGGGCCGTTAAAACTGACTGGGAGGCTGTTTGGTGGCAGCGCCAGTTGTGGCAAGCTTCCCTCCCAGGAGAATGCTGCGCACTTCCCATGTGGCACAGGTCACCCCACGGATTGGGGGGGCTCTCTCCCCAAGGCCCAGATCCGCTGGTCCCCGAGGTCCTCCTCGTCTATCTGCTGCTGCAATGGGAGCCACCCCAGCTCCAATTCCTCCTGAAAAGCAGGGCCATTAAAACTGACTGGGAGGCTGTTTGGTGGCAGCGCCAGTTGTGGCAAGCTTCACTATGGCAGCCTGGGACCAGTCAGACAACCTTGTCATGTCCTTGAGGTTGCCATGCCACATCTGCAGGAAAGGAGACCAAGCTGCTGTTCTGTTAGGCCTGGTCACCGTCCCTGCCGAGTCCTCTTCGGCTTCTAGGGCTGAGCACCTGGGAAGGGTCCCTACACCCCATAAATGGTGGTCTTTCTGTGCCTCCATGTCTGCCTTACTCTGACATTGGTGAGCCAGGTCCACAGGGTCTTATGGCACCTACCGGCCCCCATTTCACCTGCCATTCATGGAGCTTCTAGGGCTGAGCACCTGGGAAGGGTCCCCATAATGGTGGTCTTTCCGTGCCTCCATGTCTGCCTTACTCTGACATTGGTGAGCCAGTTCCACAGGGTCTTATGGCACCTACCGGCCCCCATTTCACCTGCCATTCATGGTGGTCTTCAGGTTAAATTTGGCAACATGTATGTTGCTTGCTTCTTTTATTGTGCAGT